CAGCAGAGGTAATTTTCAGCACTTCTTTTAAAATAAATCAGCTAAATTGCTTCAATTAAGACTTTTAGTCAAGGCACAGGTCCCTCTCTCTCCCGGAGATTTGATGTTTTATTCTTATTTAGAATTATTCAAATCCTTTACAAAAAAAAAACTGTTGCATCATCATAGGCAGAACACATATAAAGGGATATGATGATTATTTTTTTAATTATTATTAAAAAACAAAAGGGTTTCTGTTTCAAACTCAAAACAAGGGATTTCACCTTTGCAGAGGCTGCAAAGTTTCAGAAGTCTTATGAAGATCCACTTCTTTTCATTGGCTTTTGATGCTGACAGAGCTGGGCACCTTCGTGTAATCCTGCCTTTGACCTTTGACCTAGTTTTAAACTTTTAACAAACTTAATCTGGTACCCGGCACATTGAAATGTGCTGTAGGAGTGACCGATAGCTTCAAGGCAATGTGGAGGTGGGACTTCATCAAGGATCGGCTCTGAGCCCCTTGTGATGGAACGACTAACAGATGAGGTCAGGCTGGAATCCCCGTGGACTATGATGTTTGCAGATGACATTGTGATCTGTGATGGGTGGAAAATAACTTGGAGAGGTGGAGTTATGTACTTTAAAGATGAGGAATGAAAGTCAGCTGTAGTAAGATAGTGCATGTGTGTGAATGAGGAGACAGATGGAATAGTGAGGCTACAAGGAGCAGAGGTCACAAAGGTGCAGGGCTTCAAGTATTTGGGATCTACTGTCCAAGAAAACAGGGAGAAGAGGTGAAAAAGAGAGTCCAGGCAGGATGGAGTGGATGGAGAAAAGTTTCAGGAGTGATTTGTGACAAAAAGGTGTCAGCAAAGGTCAAAGGAAAAGTTTACAGGACAGGGGCGAGACCAGCCATGTTTCATGGTCTGGAGACAGAGACATAGACAAAACGACAGGAGAAAGAACTGGGAGTGGCAGAAATGAAGATGTTGAGGATCTCCTTAGGAGTGACAAGGATGGATAAGATTAGGAATGAGATCATCAGAGGTACAGCACAGGTTGGACAACTGGGAGATAAAGTTAGCGAGGCCAGACTGAGATGGTTTGAACATGTCCAGAGGAGGGACAGTCAGTGGGTATATTGGTAGAAGGATGTTAGAAATGCAGCTGCCAGGAAAAAGACAAAGAGGAGATATATGGATGCAGTTAGAGAGGACATGGAGGTAGTTGGAGTGAGGACAGAGGACAGAGTGAAATGGAGGAGGATGACTGACTGTGGTGACCCCTGAAGGGGGAAAAGCCCAAAAGAGAAGAAAAAGAAGACCTGGCATGTACTTGGTACATATCTAATACTTGCCTATTAAATACCATTAATATGTCAAGTACCTGGCTGGTATGTACCAGGGTCAGTCTATATTATCAAAAAACGTTTACCCTGTATGTACCAGTGCCTTTTAGTATACTTAATACTTACAGGATACATACCAGCACCAGGCTGTATTATGAAGTGACTTGTCACCTACTACTTATAGGACACATACCTGATACAAACTGGGTACTTGCCTGCTATTTGTCTTGTACCTACCTGGTAATTTACCTGGTATGGACTGTGTACGCACAGGCCTGAATTGCGTATTTCTGTCTGCTAGGCTTGCTTCTTTTTATTTTACCACACTTTGGTCTAATTCATGTAGTTTTAAATACATTTACACTGGCATTCGATGCAAAAACAGAAAATACGAACAACTGCTTTGATGATCATCCATCACTCTGCAGGTAGCAGAGTGGGAGGACCAGCAGCTCGATGAGCTGGTGGACTTCAAGAACTGCAAAATTGATCCCGCTCCCTTCCAACTGGTAGAACAAACGTCTCTACATAAGGTACAGCATGAACAAAAAATCAGCAACAACTTGTGGGGGGGAGGGAAAAAGAAACGTAAATCTATCCATCCATCCATTATCTTTTACCCGCTTCTTCCATTTTGGGTCATGGGGGTCGCTGGTGCCCATGTCCAGCAATCACTGTGCGAGGGGCGGGGTGCACCCTGGACAGGTCGCAAGTCCATCTCAGGGCCACATAGAGACAAACGAAACAACCATTCACACTCTCACTCGCACCTAGGGACAATTTAGAGTTACCAATCAGCCTAACATGCATATACTCTGGAAAAAACAGAAACATTACATGACTATTTTTCACTCACTATAGGTAAATACGCTCTGTTAACTTAAATCTGTCTTAATCTTAGATCATGACATAACTAAATAAACTGACTGAAGAATGTGGAAACTAACACACAGTCTTACATTTTATGCCTAATGGTTTTAATACGAAGGTGCAGACCCTGGAGAAAACCTTATCTGCAATCATTTCCTGATTATCACCACATTTGCTCCACTGTTCCCATGTAATGTCATAAAGGAGGACAATACGTTTAATCTATACTGAATCTCAGTAGTTTCATATCAAACTGATCTGGACTCCTTCAACCTTACACGTCATGTTATGGACTGTCCAATCTACCTCTTCTGACGGAGCGACTGTCGTGATAGCCAAAAATACACATCTGCCCCGGAATGACAGTTTACCCCAGATCCAAAATGGAAATTAGCCCCTTTTGAGTCGGTATTCAGGCCATGACCCAGCTCTCCTCCTCATCCACAGACTCACACCATCTTCTCTCTGCTGGGCCTGGATCACGCCTATGTGACCAGTATGGGTCGACTGGTTGGAGTGGTTTCTCTCAAAGAAGTAAATGTGATTCCTTAAGTCTGATAAATGTCTTTTATTAGATGCACCTTTGTTTTTTTTGCTGTGCTCACTGTCCCATTTCTGTCTTTATAGTTGCGTAAGGCCATCGAGGGATCCGTGACAGTGACCGGCGTGAAAGTCCGCCCTCCTCTGGCCAGTTTCCGCGACAGTGGAAACAGCACAAACGTATCTGAGGTAACAGAACTGCACAAGCTGTGTATGCGCCACAAAGGTCTGTCCTTACCTCGAGAACCCAATCCTCCCAACGGGGCGAAAAAGACGGACCTTTCATACAAAGACGTCGCGGTCAGCTTCACGGACAAAGTGCACTTACAGTTTGAAAACAGCCTTGGCGACGTCACAATGTCGGACTTGGTGCTTCAAGAAAGCCCCTCATTCACAGAGGACCAATCAGAGTTCACGTTTGACTGCAGCCCCTCCCACACCGAGGAATCAGAGCTGGTCTGTGACCACGATCCTCCCGCCCAAACTCCGGAGCCAAATGAAACCGACCAGCAGCAGCGAAGCCCATCGCTACACAAGGACCGATCAGAACCTGTGGGAGAAGGTGACACTGAGGACCAGCCCGATTGATCAGATTTATATTTTTGCTTCAAATATTTTGTTTCTTTAAATTTAGAGTTTCTAACATGAGAGCGAGTGTGAGAAGGATAAAGCTGGTTTGTATCTTAGTCAACAGATCTCTTGAAAAGACCAGAACTAACATCACCTTCTGACTTATCTGTGTGGATTTTTTGTTTTTTTGTTTTTTTCCAAGGGCCAAATATTTTCACATCACTTTGTTTACATGTGTTGGAAAGTCTAATTTCATCTGACTTTAAATGGTTTATTCCCTGCATATGCAGCTTAGTTTTACTGGAACATAAAATCACATGTGGGATTCAGATATTTAAAGTGTAAGACCGCTTGAGCAGCAAAGAAATGAATACATGAGATCTCCAGACCAGAAACTTCACTGAGTAAAACAGGCAACAGTTTCTGGTTTAACTCTTTAATGTCTATTTGGGTGTTCAGAGTTGCAGAGCTGAACTGATAGATATAGTCTTCTTGTTTAATGGCTGTTTCAGTTTGTGTATGCATCACATGATGTTTGTCAAAACAGCTGGATTTTCAATGTTTGCAAATATCGGCACAGCTGGGAACAAAATGCACAATGACCCATCAGGACCCTTTATTGGTTTCAGGTGTGACGACAGTCAGTTATGTTTGCTTCCACTGACACTCGCTGCTGACATGGATAACAGGTTGGGTGTACCGTTGGATTGAGCTTTTATGGAAAATTGTTTTGATTTTTCAAGTTTTTACAGGACTTTTGTAAATACTAATCAACAAGTGCATCATTTTATCAGTGGATACAGGCATCACTGTAGATTTTTTTATGTAAAATAATCAACACTGAGCAAAACTATTCTTATTTGAAAGCCTTATGAAGGCAAATCATCATTTAAATGTGTAATTTGTTGAGAAATGTTACTCTTCTCACTGTTGTTTTCCAAATGATATTTTGTTTTTAGAGTCCAAGCAGCGAGCTCTAACTTTTAACATTTCCTGACCAAGTAAGGAGACGTGTGATCATTCAGGCGCTGCTGCTTAATAATGATCTGCAAGAGAAGCTATTAATCTAAGCTTACTGCAGCAACCAGGCGTTTAGTCAATACCAGCAACTTTATAAGTGAATGAGCAAAGGAGCAAAAGGCCGGCATGAGGTACCAGGCTAAAAACAAACCATAGCAGGTTTGTTGTCCTGTTCATCCAATGGAGACAAGGGATTTGTTTTTAAGTGTAACATGCCATTTGTTGTTGGTTTGTTAATATATTTACTGAATTTCTAGACCTTTAGGTGATTTATTTTATATTTTTATTACTTTATGATGCTTAAAACCTAAAAATGAAGCTTACTTTTTTTTTTTTTTTTAGAAATGCCATAGAAACCGAAGTAAATTAATTTGTTGGCAGCTTCAGATCCCAAAAATCTCTATACTGGTCTTGGTTACTGTAATGGTCTCTATAGCACAAATATATCAGTGCACAGTCTCAGAGTTCTGCATAATACTGGTTTGGTAATTCTTCAAAATGGGATTTGTTGACAATAAGATAGAACATCACCAGCTTTATCTTTTGTGCATTTATTTTTGTGTTTGTGGAGATGTCTGTATGCGTACAATAATTTTTTTTCCCCCCATAAATAAACTAGAATCGCACCAAAGTATTTAAGTTGCCAAATTAAAAACATTTGAACTTGATCCCAAAAGATTATAAAAAATATATAATTAAATTCAAATAATGTTGGGTGGGAAAACAAAAACAGATCAAATAATATAAAAAGCACAGATTTTTAAATAAATTATTCAAATGAGCACAAGTCTGTATAAATCTAAAAAAAAAAAAAAACTTACCTATTCAATGACTAATTTGGCACATGATTATTTTAAAGCAATAGCTCAGATCTTTTTACGTAGGGTTCTGTGGAAAAGTTATGAAAAATTAGCATCTTACTTATTATAGATGGCACGTGGAACGGTTTCAGTTTGAAGAAATGTAGTTTCACAGTTTTATAAACCTTTACATGACTTTCAGTTTTACATGACATAAAAATGATTTTTATTTTTATTTTTTTACTGGAAAAGCTTCACTGGACGTGCTGCAGCTAGCTGCTGCTGCTGTTTGAACTTCCACGTATCTAAAGGACTCTATGGAAATAACAGTGCAATGTAAAAATGGTAGTAATATTAAGGCTTATAAAACAATTTTTGCATAAATTACTTTGAAATTATTTAGATTAGATTCATCCTTCAGTCTAGGACTAGCCATTTTCTTGTTAATCTGGTCAGAATTAAAGTCTATTTCTCCAAAATTAGGTCAATTTATTAGCCATTTACAACAGGTAAGATAGTGATTGTTCATAACTTGTCCACATAACTCCACTTCATAAGATTTGAGATATCCCTTTATAACGGCTTGTAATGTTTTTTTCTTTGTGTTGGCTGATATGCAATAAATATACATTATTAATGCAGTAAAGGCAGATTGCTATTAGCATTATTAAAGTTAACAAACATTTATTACAACAAACTGCCATCAGTATTTATTTTTACATTTATATGATGTCCATATGAGCCCTCAAAATGGGATCTGTTCACACAGTGACAAAGGCAGCTTCCAAAGGTCTCCAAAGCTGTCTAAACAGGGCCCGACTCACAGCAAATCATGTCCTAATTATTATTTTATACTGACTGCACAGGTAGGCTTGTTTGGCTTTACAGGAGTAGATCATATAATGGTAATGTCAATCATTGTGTGAGCATCTTCTGACGCTGTATGGGAGTTTAAGGTGCATGATAAAGGAGCAACACCTGAGCTCCAGGTCACAGGAATGTATTGTCTGTTGTACAGAGCACACACACAAAGAAACTCACACAAACATGGACACACGCTGTGCTGTAGATATTTAACACATCTTTCAATCCAGCCTGGCTTTTTAAACCAGCACTCACAAATGAAAGCCCCCAAAACTAAATGTGTACAAGTACTTGTTATGACCTTATAATGGATGTATTTTAGCTTCATTCAACATGTCTTACTCTTGTGTATTACCAATGCAGTTCACTAAACCTGGCTCTTTTTACCCCACAGGTAACATTTGTGCAACTAATGTCTTAACCTTTTGTTTGCATAAAGAATGTGCAGTAGTGCTTGCCAAATACAGGTTACATGTAAGGAATTATTTGCAGAAAGCACATACCGGTAAGCTAATTTTGCAGCGTATCTAGTGAAGCAATAAGTCTGTAGTATTTCCCTTTCTATGGCACTGGCCTGCTTTGTACATATGAAAATAAACAGATGAGAGTCCCATACATGCCACTGTACATAGGAGAATTATGCATTTGAATGCAGCCATTGTTATTTTTCAGAGGACATGAAATTGTTTTTTTGTACATGAACGAACGATTAAATTTCAAGGAAAACCTCATGTGAAACAAAAACGACAAAATGGTTGTTCATTTCTTCAAGTTTGTTTGTTGCGGTGAATAAAAACGCCAAAGATCCATGTTTCAAAAAAATTATATTTATATATGCAGAACAATCAGGCTTTCCATTTCAAACCCACGTGACAAACGGCGTGACCCAAAAGAATAAAAATAAACAGCACTACAAAATATCCATAGAAAAACAACTCGACATCAGCACACGACTCTTCACAAAAATATACAAAACTCAGTTGGAACAACAGCTTTACATTCTCAGTGACCTCCCCGTCATGGACTCTGTTTACAGCGGAGATAAACCGTGGATGGAGTCGGTGAAAGGCCTGGAGGAGGAAAGGCGAACTGCTTCAAATGGAGGGAGAGATGAGGGAGGAAGAGTTGGAGGAGCGGGGTGTACAGACTCTACACAGACTCAAGAAGACACAAAGATGGATAAGACATCACATCAAGTACTCCTTCTTTTCTTCATCCACCTCTTCTCTCTCCTCCTCTTCTTCAAACGACGCCACGCCAGAAGACCTGCGGTCAGAGAAGCCCCTGGGGTTCCAGTGCCAAACCCGAAGCTCATGGAACACGCTGCCATCCTCCTCCTCGTCCTCTTCCTCCTCCTCTCCAGGAGACTCGGAGTGAGAGGTGGAGTAGCAGGAGTCGAACCTGCTGCTCCTGCTCCGGGACCTCCACTCCGGCTTGTTGTGGACACAGACCTCGCCGTGTTGCTCCTGCAAAGAAGCCAACTGCTCATCGAGACCGCTCAGCCTCTCCTCGTCCTCTTCTTCTTCTTCCTCCAAGAATGGACACATGCAGTCGCTCCGTGACGTAGGTGAGTTGGCCTGAGCTGGAGGCTGATCATGGAGCAGACTGGTGCTGCTGGAGTTTACAAGACAATCTGGGGGTGGAACCTCAACGTCTCGGGTCTCAGGCTGGCATGGCACTCCGCCAATGGGTTCGGACACGGCCGTGTCTGAGGGAGGAGGACAGAGTCAGAACACCTGGAGGTGGATGGACAGAGGAGTGGATGGGAAGATGATGATGTCAGCGGGGATGCGGGAAAACGATGAAATGAAATGTGATGATGTCGTGTACCTGAGCTCTGGGTGGACAGGGTGCGAGTCTGTCCATTGGTGTGGGAGTCCTCATCGTTGGAGTCTTCCTCTTCCTCCTCATCATCATCCAGTGACGCCCAGGCTCTGAGTTTAGCCTCAGCAATGGCAAACTGCTCCGCCACTCCTAGCAGGAACACATTCACAATTTGAAGGCAGTGATTTCAAATGTTGGGATTTAAAACCAGCTGGCAGTCCGTATATTTTTCTGTGTTTGTCACGATAAATATTTTCATTTGTTCAACCTTTATACAGGCTAGCCTCATTGAGCCACGAGGACTCGTTTACAAGAGGGACCTGTTCCAGACAGAACATATAAAGTACAGACAACAAAACAGTAGACAATGACAACAATAAACTACAGTAAAAAAAATGCTGTTAAAATGAGTAATGTACAAAGCAATAAATGAGGGTGCCGTAAAACCGGGTGAAATACTAAAAACAAGAACATATTTGCTTTGAATTTTCTATTGACATTATCAAATGTTTGAAACCCCGTAAAGATGTCAAGATGGACAGCTTCAGTTCCTGTTGCAAGGTGTTCCAGGTTGCAGGAGCTGAGTAAGAAAAGTCCCTTTTGCCAAATTCAGTTCGCACTGAGGGAACCCTGCAGGTAATTATGTTCTGAGAGCGCACGCTGTAACTGCAGTGACGACGTGACGTGTGGGAGGAGATATCAGAAGGTAGAAGACCAAGGAGGGATATCTGTAAATCATCTCTGTGTTTCTGATCAATTGGGTAATTAATTGTATTCTATTTGAATTTACTGAACCCTAAACTACCTGAATACTTACAAAACTTTGCCATCAGCGAGCCTGATACTCATGTTTGGATGATGTAGAGCTTAACAAGTACATTCAAACATTTTAAACATTCGATCTAACCTACTGGGATTTTTATTTAATGCAACTATGGATACACTTTTTCAATTAAAAATTAACTGGTAGTAGCGTTAGCTGATGAGTTAACACGCATTGATTTGACCCTACAACAAGCACAAATTACAGTAAATGCATTGCTAGAGGTGTGATGTCATGCAGCCTTGTCCACAGGTCAAGCTTGAGAGCTTCCATTTTAAAATAAATGGCTGAATGAGAGCATTTTAGCCAAACTGGTTCTTTTGAGGCTAAATGGTAACTCTAAATTGTCCCTATAGTTGTGAGTGAGACAGTGGATGTTTGTCTTGTTTGTCTCTATGTGATGGACTTGAGACCTGTCCAGGTGTCCCCTGCCTCTCTCACAGTGACTGCTGGATATGAGCGAAAGTGACCCCTGCGATCCAAAAAGGAAGAAGCGGGTAAAAGATGATGGATGGATGGATGGATTGTCCTATTTATACTACAGCTTGATGGGACAGCATCTTTAGCTAGATGAGGGTTTTGGGTGTGGCAGCACTCAACAATAAACTCAACATCTTTTAGAGTCATTTAAAGAGTATTTCTTTCTGTGAGGAACTGAGACGTGAAAGGTTTTCTAAGATGTTTTCACTTCAGTACGACTTGAATTGTTTTCACTCCAGCTGATCTGAATAGGTAAAGATCCATCTTTGATGGATTAGCTTTTTATAACCCCACTGACCTTTTGCTGTATTTTTACCTCTCTAAGGGCTTGGTAGTGAGCATGATGTCCGCTCTCTCTGCCTGCACTCCACTTTCCTCCCCCTCATATTATCTCCTCATCAAACCACAACTATGTCACCGGTGCCAGAGAGGATGAGTCACAGAAAAACACCCAGAGCTGCCGCGCTGTCGGTGGGCAGTGAAGTCTTCTGAAAGTGTTTCTAATGGGCCACCATCTGCTGCCAAGACAAACCGAGCGATGTCAGTGGAGCCCATTGCTCCAGTAAAGGACTTTGAGGGGATTAGGTGGATGACAGAAGGTGGGAGTGGTCACGAGATGATGCTGTGGTTAAACTGGGCTAAGAGGATGCACATGTCCACACAAAGGCATGTGACTTTGTTTTCTTACATTGTTTGAATCTGTAACAGCTGCATTTATTTATCCTGCTGGATGAGAAGATTAAAGAATACCTGCAGCAAACCGAGCCTCCTTCTCCCCTTCGGTCAGATGGCTGTAAGAGTTGAACTGGGAGTTGGTGCCCGGTGGAGGACCTGTGGGTTTGGGCCAGCCTTTCCACTCGATGAGGTGGGCGACCCGACCCTGAGCCAGAGAGGTGGGCTTCGTCACATGGTCCCTCACGGCCTGAGAGATGCCTGCGTCACAGAGAGGGACAGGTCAGATATTTGAAGCCACATGTTCAAAAACATGAAAATAAATATATATTTTTCCACCATTCAAGGAAGATCTGGCGAGCGCTGCAAATTCATGGATGCCCACACTTTTCCTGGAGTCTGCTGGAGATTTTCCTGACTTTGGAATCATTTCAGTCTCTTCAAAATTCACCTGCAAAACACATCACATTTTAGCGAAATGTCCCTTTTTTTTTTCTTTACATTAAATAGCAGCCAGAAAATGAAGCTTTATAAACACAACACAGCTCCCGTCATCAGAATTCTGATACGACTCTGAAGACAAACAACAACAGTCGAAGCACGTGTAAATGTAAAAAGGCTGCACATATTAAGCTAACTAACTAAATAATGTCTGTTCCCACCTCTTTTTCTCTTTGCCTCTCCATTCTTTCACTACTCCTGGTGCTGAGCCTCATTATGGACGCGCAGAGATGGATCCAGGGCGTCGTGAACCAACGCGACTGAGAGACGCAGCTTGAGTTTGCTGCTTTAAACCACCGAGGCAGACAAGTAGCAATGCCCTATATTCACCGCACAGATGCTGCTAAAGCCACGGTAAGCTGGTGAAACCCGTTCAAAAGGCTGGGGTGGAGGGAGGAGAGGGCAGCAGGGGACCGTCTCCATTTGACAAAGCAAGCATATGGTGTGGGACCAGCCACGGGTTAGTGGCTCCAGCCAAGCCTGCTCAACGCAAAGCTGTTGATTGAAACTGATAGGGCCACCTGATGGACTAAAACCTTCACGACCACCGGATGGGTCAGCAGCCTCAATCTGTGGCCACAAAACTGGAGCACAAGGCAGATCTGGGAAATATCGGGTGACTTTTAACAAGCAGGAAACACGAGCAAACATGCATGACTTGACGGAAACTCTTAAGCAGATTGTCTCCTAAAGCTGCTAAGAAAGAACAAAATCTTCTGACAGTGGTTAAAGGCTCCCACTGAAGTCAAGCGTGACAGGAAATGTGTGCCAACAGGCAGGCGAGGAACTCTAAGAGGGGGGTTAGGTGAAGGTGGAAACATCTCCAGCTCAGGTCAACACTCCTCAGAGGAGAGTTTCATCTTTAAAAGAAAAGCACCGGAGAGACGCGACTCGAGCTCATCAACACATGTTCAGGATGAGAAGCTCTGAAAGGTGCTGAGACTTTGAAGAACAGATTTCAGCTCGGCAGACAGATCGGTTTCACAACTCTGGTCCTCCAAGCACACTCAAGGAAATGAATCTGCTGCAGCATTTCATCATGTTCTGCTTTTAAGGACCAAATAATCGTGTGAATGCTGATTTCAGCTGTATTTGTGCCATGTTTGTGCGTGTAGTCAAACTACTTCATACTTTTTACTATTTTAACTGTTTTAACTGTTCACATATCAAAAGGTCTCTTGTAAATGGGTCCTCGTGGCTTAATGTGACTAACTTGTATAAATAAAGGTTGAATGAAAAAAATGAATACACTCATCTCATCCAGCAGATGGGTGCTGTGACTTTTGAGTTTTATAACTTATATTGTTAATTGATTATTTTTTTTACTTTACAATTATTTCACTATTTAAAGATGCTAAGATCTCAATTCCTGTTTGAAATCTGCTTTAGTTGCTCACATTTTGTTGTTTTTAGTTTGCAGCTATAAGTGCTACCTTTAGCTTGTACCTAGCCTTCTGCTACTTTTAGGTTTTAGCTACATTTCTTCTAATTGTACCTTTTGACTAGCCTTTTGCTGCTTTTAGGTTTTAGCTACATTTCTTCTAATTTTACCTTTAAAAGCTCAAAATAGCAAAACACAGCTAAAAATAGCAAAAGACTAGCCAAAAGGTAAAATTAGAAGAAATATAGCTAAAACCTAAAAGTAGCAAAAGGCTAGACAAAAGGTAAATTTAGAAGAATTGCCAGCCTTCTTCTACTTTTAGGTTTTAGCTACAAATCTTCTAATTTTACCTTTTGGCTAACCTTTTGCTACTTTTAGCTAGTGTTTTGCTACTTTGAGCTTTTAGCCAAGCTACCGTTCTTCTAATTTTACCTTTTAGCTAGTGTTTTGCTACTTTGAGCTTTTAGCCAGCCTTCTGCATACTTCCTGTAGTTTAATTCTGAAGCTTTGATGTAGGAAACATCTGAAACATGCAGAGCGGTGGATGCTGAAGCCTTGCGTTGATTTAAATGAGTTCAACCAAATTAACAGATTCTACTTTGATCTCAGTCAGTCCAGAGATGAAGATATTGGAAAGTCATGCTCGATAAATTAGCTGCATTCGGTGTTCTGTGGTTCCATCCAGGTACGATAAAAGTGGAGCACAATCACTTTGTTGACTTTATACCAATGAGATAGACTCATTCCTACAAACCTCTTTTTATTTAAATTATTTATAAACTTGGAGACAAATGTTGAAGATAAATCTTAACACAAGTATTTAAAATGTTTGTGTTTCAGGGTTCATCTCAGGTTACACATAAGACAACACTTTTTTAAAGTTTGACTTTAGGTGTTTGACTTCTTCCACATTTAAGTGGTCATTTTTGTCTTTTTGTTGTCATTTTGTTGTTTCACTTTATAAAAATAAAAATAAAAAATAATAATAAAATGTGGTAATTGTTTGCGTGTTTTCTTCCGTTTCCTCCCACAGTTCAAAAACATGCATGTTAGGATGCCTTCAGGCCTCCTTTGCCAAAAGAGATTTGTGATCTCAGTGGGACATGCCCTGGGGGGTACGCTCATACCTCTGGGTACATATGTGCGTACGTACATGCGTACCTCCGCTTATGGACATACGTGAGAGTATACTGGGGGGCTGACATACAAATGACTATAAGTTATGGATACCTGTGCTTTATAAACATTGTTAACAAATCTGTGTTCCTTCCTTCCTGATCCCATTTATTTATTTATTTATAATTAATAAAACATTTATTTATTTATCTATGAAAGTATTTGTTGATTTGCTGGAATTATTCAAAACTTGTGATTAATATATTGGCTTGTTTTTAAGCTTAACTTTTAAATGACAAAATGTTAAAAGAAGATCCAATAAATTCAGTTATTTGTGTATGTTTTTTAAAAACTTATATAACTATCTATTTATAGATAAAATACATCATTAGCCCTCCTTGAAGCTGCCAATTTAACTGCTTCTTCTACCTCCAGCCTGCAAAGCACACCTGATAAATGCTGCTAACTGGTCCAAGCCAGGCTTCATGTGAGCAAACCTCCTTTTTTTAAGGTCATTTTAAATCAATTTTAAACCCCTTTAAAAGGAGGGATGTGTCACAGAGGAGGCTGTGACTTCCACAGATCTATATTTATTAAAATGACCAACAAGTGGGAGGGTGAAGTC